GAGGAAAACTGGGGGGAGATTGTCCAAGGCCGGCGAGCGACAGAAAGAGAAAACCCTTATCAAACTCCTAATTCACTGGGCTCCGAGGGCCCAGACACACTGGCCCGATTGTCTGGCTGGTTGTGTGTGTGCGAGCGTGTGTGTGTGTGTGTGTGTGTTCCAGTGTCCGCTCCTCCCACCCCCAACATGCCTTCGCCTCGTGTGACTACCTCATTGTGTCCCACTACCCACCCCTCCACCCCCTTGGCCTTTCCCAAGCATGAGGCCTTGCCTAGGCCCCCTTCCCAGCCCCACTCCAGACAGGACTCCCTTGGGGTGGGCCTGGGGCCTCGCCCAGCTGCTGAGGAGCTCAGAGCCATCCATGGTCGCCAGTGCGGCCCAGCCTCCCTCTGTCCTACACACACACCCTCACCTCCGCCTCAACACCCACCTTTTGAGAAGAGAGAGGGGCTGCGATCTTTGGAGGAGAGGCCTGGGAAAGCCTTAGATGATGAGCAGGACAGAAAAATGGAGGGGTCACCCTGCTGGGGAGGGGGCTGAGGGGAGAAGTGAGCAGAGAGGAGGAAGAGAGAGGCAGGGCAACTCCCCACTCTTTCTCGGGATGGGGGTGGGGACATCATGATAACCAGGATTGAGACTCACCCTACCAGGGTGGAGGGAGTTGGGTGCCAGGAAGTGGGGCCCCAGAAGCCTTTCAGACCTACTTGGAGAGGACCCCAGCCCAGCTCACGCCCAGCCTCCTGCACGTTAGTCCTGTCTCTCTGCCTTGAGCCAGTCCAGCCCTTGCGATGCTGGGTGTCCAGTGAGAGGGGACCAGGGGTCAAGCTGGGGCATCTGCACTGGGCAGGGGGTGTGCAGCTTCTCCCCGCCTCACCAGGTATGCACCTGCCATCTTCCTCTCTTTCTGTTTAAGGTGAGAAAGAGAGGTCAGCCCGGGTGCGGGCAGGAGGTGGGGTGAGACAGGCTGGCACTCAACGCGAGGTCTTAAGTGAAGCGACACAGGCCAGCGCCCCACACGTGACAGACGCTTCACCTGCCTGCTCCTCATTCCTCCCCAATCCTCTGCCAACTGCCCATCCCTCCACCTGAGGCAGAGGTGGGGGGTCCCAGTTGAGCCCGATTTTCCTTCAAGCTACAGGTTGTGACCCTGCCCACCTGCATCCATTGGCTTTCCTGGCCTGACCACCCCACTCCTACACCTCCCAGGATGGGCCTGGGGCAGCAGCGCAGGGAGCGGGCGTGGGGGGGGTGGGCCTGGTGGAGGAGCCCTGAGTGTTGGGGATGAAGGAAAGCGCTGGAGGCTCCACCTTCTGCCCTTCCCTCCCTCCCCTCCCCCTCCCCCTCTCCCCCTCCTTCCTTCCCCAGCCCTCGGCAGCAGCTCAGCGCTCAGTCAGTCTCAGGCTGTCCGGCCAGGGTGGTTGGTGGTGAGGATTCAGGCTCCGTCCTGACAAGGCCGTGGCCTGAAGCTCAGGGCCCCCAGCCCCTCCCTCCCAGCCCACCAGCGTCCCCCACCCAGCCCCGAGCTGGACCGCACACCTTGGGACACGGTTTTCCACTTCCTAAGGACGAGCCCCAGACTGGAGGAGAGGTCCGAGGTGAGTGAGTGCGCAGCCAGCTCCTCCCTTCCGGGGCCCAGGCCTGGGGCCCTGCGGTGGGGCGTGGGGTGGCGAGAGGCTGACACCCGCATCTGCCCGCCACCCAGCTCCTCCAGGCACCGTCGGGGCAGGCGGAAGGGAAGGAGGAAAGGTGAGAGAAAAGGTGGGAAATTCCAGGAGCCAGGATTAGAGCAGAATAAAGAGTCCGTTTTTCTTCCTTTCCATCAACAAACCTCCACCCAAGAGGAGGTTTAAAAAAAAAAAAACAAAAAACCCAAACCCACCCACACCAAGAGACGGTTGGGACCAGGGGGCGGGAAGACACGGAGGCGGGAGCTAGGAGGCCGAGCCAGGGTCTAGCATGTGCGCGGGGCCCAGGGTCTGTGGTGGGTTTAGGGGGAGCCGGGCAGACGCCACCTCGGGGCTGTGCCTGCGTCGCGTCCCGCGCCGCGCCGCCGTCGGGGCTGCGCGCACGCCTCCCATCGCACCCGCCTTCCGGTCCAGGTGGGCGTTGGACTCTTCGCGAGGACCCCGGCGGCGGGCCCCGGGGAGGCGGCCGAGGCGGCGGCGGCCGGGGGCGACATGGCGGAGGAGCAGGACCTGTCCGAGGTGGAGCTGAGCCCCGTGGGCTCCGAGGAGCCGCGCTGCCTGTCCCCGGGGAGCGCGCCCTCTCTGGGGCCCGACGGCGTTGGTGGAGGCGGCGGATCGGGCCTGCGAGCCAGCCCGGGGCCCGGCGAGCTGGGCAAGGTCAAGAAGGAGCAGCAGGACGGCGAGGCGGACGATGACAAGTTCCCCGTGTGCATCCGCGAGGCCGTCAGCCAGGTGCTCAGCGGCTACGACTGGACGCTGGTGCCCATGCCCGTGCGCGTCAACGGCGCCAGCAAGAGCAAACCGCACGTCAAGCGGCCCATGAACGCCTTCATGGTGTGGGCGCAGGCAGCGCGCAGGAAGCTGGCGGACCAGTACCCGCACCTGCATAACGCCGAGCTCAGCAAGACGACTCCCACCTCAGAGGCATAGCACTGACTCCTGGCTGAAGCATCAAGAGCCTTTCATCCACACAGCTCAGAATAAAAGGGAGAAAAAGTAGAAAGAAAGAAAGAAAGAGAAAAAGAAAGGATAAAATAAAATAATTAAAATAAAAACTAAAAAATAACTCTTAAGAAAAAAAAAATTAAGTAAAAAATAAAATAAAAATGGTCAGAAAGAACCCTAGGACAAATGGTGAAAGCAAAGCTATACAGACAAAATCTCACATAGAAGCATACACACACACTCTCACAAAAAGAGGAAAAGGGGACGGCAGCAGCTCAGCGCTCAGTCAGTCTCAGGCTGTCCGGCCAGGGTGGTTGGTGGTGAGGATTCAGGCTCCGTCCTGACAAGGCCGTGGCCTGAAGCTCAGGGCCCCCAGCCCCTCCCTCCCAGCCCACCAGCGTCCCCCACCCAGCCCCGAGCTGGACCGCACACCTTGGGACACGGTTTTCCACTTCCTAAGGACGAGCCCCAGACTGGAGGAGAGGTCCGAGGTGAGTGAGTGCGCAGCCAGCTCCTCCCTTCCGGGGCCCAGGCCTGGGGCCCTGCGGTGGGGCGTGGGGTGGCGAGAGGCTGACACCCGCATCTGCCCGCCACCCAGCTCCTCCAGGCACCGTCGGGGCAGGCGGAAGGGAAGGAGGAAAGGTGAGAGAAAAGGTGGGAAATTCCAGGAGCCAGGATTAGAGCAGAATAAAGAGTCCGTTTTTCTTCCTTTCCATCAACAAACCTCCACCCAAGAGGAGGTTTAAAAAAAAAAAAACAAAAAACCCAAACCCACCCACACCAAGAGACGGTTGGGACCAGGTGGCGGGAAGACACGGAGGCGGGAGCTAGGAGGCCGAGCCAGGGTCTAGCATGTGCGCGGGGCCCAGGGTCTGTGGTGGGTTTAGGGGGAGCCGGGCAGACGCCACCTCGGGGCTGTGCCTGCGTCGCGTCCCGCGCCGCGCCGCCGTCGGGGCTGCGCGCACGCCTCCCATCGCACCCGCCTTCCGGTCCAGGTGGGCGTTGGACTCTTCGCGAGGACCCCGGCGGCGGGCCCCGGGGAGGCGGCCGAGGCGGCGGCGGCCGGGGGCGACATGGCGGAGGAGCAGGACCTGTCCGAGGTGGAGCTGAGCCCCGTGGGCTCCGAGGAGCCGCGCTGCCTGTCCCCGGGGAGCGCGCCCTCTCTGGGGCCCGACGGCGTTGGTGGAGGCGGCGGATCGGGCCTGCGAGCCAGCCCGGGGCCCGGCGAGCTGGGCAAGGTCAAGAAGGAGCAGCAGGACGGCGAGGCGGACGATGACAAGTTCCCCGTGTGCATCCGCGAGGCCGTCAGCCAGGTGCTCAGCGGCTACGACTGGACGCTGGTGCCCATGCCCGTGCGCGTCAACGGCGCCAGCAAGAGCAAACCGCACGTCAAGCGGCCCATGAACGCCTTCATGGTGTGGGCGCAGGCAGCGCGCAGGAAGCTGGCGGACCAGTACCCGCACCTGCATAACGCCGAGCTCAGCAAGACGCTGGGCAAGCTCTGGAGGTGAGCGCCCCCGACCCGCCTCCCGGGAGCTCCCGCTGGCCCTCTACCTGCGGGTGGATTCGGGCTAGACGGGCACTGCCTGAGCCTTTCTCCTGGGGCAGCCACCGCCTTGATGGTGGGACTGTAAGGCCAGCTGGGTGCATCGGACCCGCCCTTCCCCCAGTACCCCTTTGTGGTTGCGCTCGCTCGGATCTCCAGCGGCCTAGGCCCGGCTCCCCAGCTGGGGCAGCAGGCTGGAAGGCGCCCCCTCGCGGTTGGAATTCTGTCGGTGGCAGGCGCTCGGGCCTGGGTTTCTTGGGGCGAGAGAGAAGGCGGAAGGGAGGGAAGGCTGGTGGAGGACTCCACACCACAGGGCTCCACTAACCCCTTCCACAGGCAAGCCACTCAAGGGTGCCACTGCCGCCGGTCAGGGGGATTCGGGGGAAACGCTTGGGAAAGAACTGAAGGCCAGGCTGGAGAGGCAGGGAAACTGAGGCAGCCAGGTGGAGGGCTCGAGGGGTTAGATGGGGCGGGTGCAGACAAGGAATTCAGATCCGGGTCTTTGAAAGGGTGAGGGATGGAGAACTGCTGAGGACGAATCGGCCACTGCAGGGTCTCGTCCTACCCCAGCTGCCTTCTCTGTGCCCTTCTGACCCCCCTTCCTTCAGGCCGGGGGCTTCTTCTTCCCCCAGGGAAGGGGACACATGGAAAGAAGCCTCCCCCTCCCACCCGGCCCCAGAGCTGCCAGGCCCGTCTCTTCCCCTCCCTCCTTCTCCCAGTCCAGGCGCCATCTTCTTTTCCAGGGCCCCACCCAGCAGTGAGTAACCTCCTACCCCTCCAGCCCTAGACCTGAGAGCCCTGGCCAGGAGGAAACGTTGGTGCCTTGCCTACCCAGGGTCCCTCAGAGTCCCAGGTTCTCTGGAAGCAGCCCAAACCTCTGGGGAAAACATCCCTCGAGGAGGAAGTCGGCCTCACCTCAGGTCTGGGGCTTAGGCTGGCCCCTTGCGAATATGTTGTTGACCAGGGCAACCCCGCCCCCCAAGAAGTCCTGGGCAGCTCAGATCGAGAGCAAGGGCTCCAGAAGATGTGCGTCTGCAGAGGTTACCTGATTCCCCACTGGACTGCCCAAGAGATAGGCCCAGAGAGGCAAAGGGACCACCAAGGCCACGTAACAGCTTGGGGCAGAGCCAGGGCCAGAACCGAGGTCTCCTGGCTCTTCGTCCAGTGGTCTTCCCACACACCATCCTTGGTGACAGAAGTGGGTCACGCCTCCACTCTAAGACACGGTCAGGAGGTGGGGAGGGTGAGGGCAGAGGAGAGCAGGAGCGAGGAGCATCTGAGCTGCAGAAAGTTTGGGCTTTGTCAGAGGGGCCTGCCACCCTCCTGCTGCTGCCCTCCCCCTGCCGGCCCCAGCACAGTGCAGATTGGCCTCGAAGGCCAAAGGCTCAAGGTGGTGGAAGGCGCGGGAGGGCCCCCAAGGGACCTAGAGGAATTCCCATCCAGCCCCCTGGCCCCGTCCTTGGCCACGTGTCTGCTAAAGGCCTGGTGCTTCACCCCAGCAGGCGCTGGGCTCAGTGGCCGACCTGCTGCGTGGACTCAGAGGGTCTAACCCTGCCCAGACCCCAGAGGGTCTACCTCTGCCCAAGGTCCATCCACACTGTGGCAGGGCTCAGCCAGGCCAGTACCCTTGGTGCCGTGGGACAGAGAAGAGCAAGTGAGAGACAGACAACCAGGAGGGAGACAGGCAGACCAAACAGGCTCTGGGACGACGAGCAGACCACAGTGTGAGCCCAGTGAGGGCATCAAAGCAAGGATGGACACCCTGCTTCTCCCCCATGCCATTGCCAAGGATTTAAAACTGGACCCTCCATCGTCCCTGTCTGTCCCTGTTCCCTTAGCCCAGAACTCCAGGCATGGGCTCCCTCAGAAGGACTTGTTCCTGGCCGCCACTCAAGCTGTGCGCACAGGGCCCCAGGGTGCCCCCCAGGGGCCAACCTGGGGTGGGGCAATCAGGAAAGCAGGCACTGCTTACTCAGGACCCAACCCCAGACAATGGCAAGGATCAAAGGCTACGCCAACAGGGGGCAGGCTACCTAGATCCTGGGTGGGGGCCCCAGGAAACATCTGTATATGCGCTGGGCTGGCCAGTCTCTCCAGGGGCTCCTCCTGAAATCCTCCCCCCCGCCCAGGCCCAGGTTCGTGACTCCCAGGCTGTCAGGAAGGGGTATGGTTATCTGAGCAGAACTGGAAATCAGGGGCCCTATACCTGAGAAGAGAAAGACATGCATACAGACTGTGTGGGGTGCTGGAAGGGGGTTGGGGTCAGACACACCAGCGTCCAGGTCCTGGCTCCGAAATGGCTGGGGGAGCGCCGACAGTCACGCTAACCTTCGGTGCCCGCCTGGGAAAGGACTGTTAGATGTTGTTCACGTGGTGCTGGGGGTATACAGGTTGACCTGCCTGGAGAGAATAATTACAGCAGGCTGGAGCATCTCCCGACCCCCAGGTCCCTTCCCTGACAGGAGCAGGTGAAGTGGCAGCCAGTGCCCCACCGTGGAAGCCCCCAGATGGGGTTCCAGTTTGGGTGGGGAACCAGCCTACCCCCTCCCCATCCCTATTGCAGACCTTGGAGACCCAGAGATGAAGTGAAGTGCAGATGAGTATGAGGTTTGTAGTTAGAGCTGTGGTGACTGAGGGCTGGTGCTGGAGTCAAGATTAAGTTAGGGATTGGGTTTACGTGGTGGGGCAGGGCGGGTTTGGGGTCAGGAGAGAGCCTGAACAGAGCCGAGATTGAAGGTCTGGGTGCGGCTGGGTGGTTTGGGGGTGAGGTTAGCATTGGGCTAAAGCTGGCCATCCCCCCACCCCGCCCCCGGATTAGATTTCTATCGAGGTTAGGGTACTGCTGGGAACTAGCATGGGAGGTGCCAATGGGATGCAGTGTTGGAATCTTCCCTCTCTTCTGGCCTGTGCCCTGGCTCCGTGCCCCCTGCCATTTTCTTGCTGATTCACATCCGGTTGCCAGCTGGACAGAGGGCACAGGGAAGGTTTGGGGTGGAAGAGGGAGTGCAGTGTCCCCAGACATCCTGGGAGCCCCTGTGCCGGGGCCACAGCTGGCTGAGGCGCCCTCACATGCAGCTTCTCCACCCCTCACCGCACACACACCATTGGGCCTGCCCCACCTACTCCCCTGGGCTGGCTGGGGTTGGGGGGTGGGCACAGCTGGGGTGAAAAAGGCTCCATCCCACTCCCTCACTCCTGAGGCCTTGGTCTGGGGTCTCCATCCCATCACTCAGCTAGAGGGACCCTTGGAAAGTGAAAGTTGCACTCGGGCTGGGCCAGGTGGCCTAGGGGGAGGGCAGCCAGGGGAGGCTAAGCTGCAGAGGAATGCCG